CGTGCGGTGAAGACGGAAGGAAAATAGGGAGATATATTTATCTATGTATAAAGGCTGAATATCATATTAATGTTAAATGCGTAAAGGAGAAATAAGAATTAACAGCAGAAGGGTTTCCTTTTTATAGAAAAACTGCTGAAAAGGAAGTTCAGCGGCAATTTGAGTAGGGAGCCATCCCTCCCTGGAATTCCCAAGGAGTGGTGGCCCAGCCGGGCTCACCCTTGGGGCATGGCCGTGCGCCTTGGCCCAGGCTGCCAGGGAGCATTTCTCCGGGGTTGCAGCTTTCTCGTGTTGTGCTTCTGCAGCGTGGTCAGTGAGTGTGTTTCACCAGCCACTCACTTGGTGCAGAAAAATGTTTGCCTGGGTTTTGCATCCTGAAATACGCGTTGCTTCTGATCTGCAAGAGCTGGGCCTTGGAGTGTCTTGCAGAGTTTGTGGTGTGTGTGTCCATGCCTCTCCAGGCTCAACTCTTAGAGTTAGCAATCACAGTAATTGCCAAATTCTATCTTGGAGTCTTTAGTTCTCTTTGCTAATTCTTTTCTGTTCCTCAGATAGCTTATTATAGCACTGGTGTGGTATTGCATATCCATAATGCCACCTTTCTCCCAAATCTGACTTGAGGGGTTCTGCATAATGTCAGATACTGTTTAATAATATTGCTTGCCCGCCTGCCAACCTGAGAGGAAACTTGCACGTGGATGTAACTTGCAACTTTATATATCCAGCTGCATCTCTTCTGGTGAAGCATGCTCTGGGTAGCAGCATGACCCTTTTATCTGCCCGGGGATATAGATGCACATATATGCACTAGTACAACTGGTTTTTTTCATCAGGGATTTTGATATGAACATGTTGCTGAGGGTTTTTTTTATTATTATTTTTTAAGGAAGCTTGCCACTCCTCTTCAGCCTGTACTCACTTTCTAAATTATTGCTGATGCTTATTCTGGGAAATTATGTGATGTTTTGTGGAATAGATTCACCTTTTCCAAATGATACCTCTGAGCTCCATGTATTTTGCCTTTCCTGTCTGAGTTTCTAGCATTATATTGGATAAAATGAAGGCCCAGATCCTCTCATTTTAGTTATGTGCTTGACCTTATGTATCTTGGTGTGCTTTGTAAATAAAATAATCTAGGGATTTGAGAGCCTGTTTAACTTGGGAACTTCATGCACCTAGAACAGGAGAAACACAATATTTATAGAAAGAAGTTTTAATATTGTCTTAGTTGAAAAGTGGCAGTCATAAAATCATGAATAGAAAGAGCACCAAGATGTGCATGTTGAGTGCTTCCTTTTGAAAGTGTATAGCCTACAGTAATCAAAAGAATTTATCCATCTTTCAAAATGGAGGAATAGTAAAGAATGCCATGGTACTTTTACCTTGTACTTTTTATTGTGTCTGCTTATTTCTGCTGCTTCTTTCAAACTGGATGCAGTGATCAGATTATATGATAGGGAGAGGGTGTCTTTGACTATTGTTTCTTTGTCTAAGAGTAGGAATTCCAGAAGTGTATGTTGCCTAGCACTATTCCGCTAAAGGGAAAAGTAAAGCAGGTGACCATATCATAGATATATGAATTTATTATTAGTAAGGTATACAATTATTCCGTAATTTACAAGTCCCTTGAAATAAACCTTTACATAAATTGAATAATTATGCAGTCACATTTTCCATCTCACCTCATAACATAAAACTTGAGAAGCATTTTTTAATATAGCGTAATTTTTCTTTCGTAGTTATAGCAAGCAATATTATGCTGATCAGTAGAAGGTCATAAAAGCTTAAATGTTTACGTGAATCTTGAAAATATTTGCAGTTGCAGTCAGTAAATAAAATGTTGCCTGTAATGCAGTCTCTAACTTAAATTAACCAGAGCTTTATCACTAGCAGGTTGTTCCTTAGCTCCTTCTTGCACCTAGTTTTGAAATGTGGGTGCTGATTATCAGCTACTACTGCTATTCTTAATTTCATCTGTCTGTCTTCTGGCTTTTTTTTTATCATAAGCCTTTCCAAAAGGCTACTGTAAATGAAATTTAAAGGAAATTTCCCAAACTACTTAGGAAGTGTCATAAATTAGCTCATAAATTAGCTCTTTTGTTTGTTTGTTTGTTTTTTTGTTTTTTTTTTGTTTTTTTTTTTTTGTTCAAGGTTTCCCGGTTGTTAATCTCTCAATCTGATAATCTAAGAACCCCCCATTCTTCAGACTCTTGAGCTAGAGACTGCTGTTTAGTGACGAAGTCTGTGAAGCAGTCCAGGTTTTCAAGTCCTAGTGTGAGATTTGCTAGCAAAAGAGCAGCCATAGTCAAACAGACTCAGAAGATTTATGTTTCTGGATTCTTATTTATCACTTGCCATAAATAATGTTTTATTTCAGCCTAACATTTTTAAAAGTTGCTTCTTGTCTTCTAGTTTGCCATTCAGTAGGTCTAGGTGCAGATTTAATCATTGCCTTAGTAACTGCCCTCAGGCAGGAGGGTATCATTTTTACCCATTGATTGATTATTTGGTAGAATGAGAGAAAAAAAAAACATAAAGCAGTCTAAAATGCCTAAGAGTTTATTAGAATGGGAGTTTCAAACTGAGAGCAGTTATCTAGGCCTTACAATAGGTATTTTTCTTGGAATGTCCCAAGAAAAGATCCTGAGTCGTGATTTCATCACGAGGTTTAGCTGAGATAAGAAATTATCTTCTTTAGAAAAGGTAGCCAGTAGTTTTAATGCCCTAGCTCCTGTTGTTAAAGTTGGTTGTTTTATGTAGAAAAATCCAAGATGCCCTCTTTTTCTGCTGTTGCTGTGGTTGTCCTGCCAGGAGACTTTGTATATGAAGGCATTATAGTGAAAAGAGAGAGCTTTAGGATTCACATTTCATGAGGAAAATTTCAAAAATGTGACAAAATGTGAAGGGGATTAATTTTATTTGTACCTGATACAACATTCAAACGTGTATAGGTAAAATATGCATGAGGTCAAAGCCGGAAATTTTCATAGCACAAGGGAGAAAACATAAACTGTTTTAAAGCTGCAGGGCAGGTTACTCAGCAAACACTTAGCTGCAGGGGTGAGTAGCTCCTGTCTGAACTGGGATAGGCAGGGCAAGGTTATTGCAACACAGCTAAAGTCTTTCTGACATCTTGGGTAGTCTGGGAACTTCAGTCTAGCTTGGTGCATTTTAAAAGAAAAAGCATTTTTGCTAACTTAATTCGGGATGAACAATGAGCAACTAGGTAGGTGAACAGGAGGCTTCGACATCAAGCTAGCAGTTTTCAGCTCATTAATAAGCATGCATGTGCCACAAGTTCTATGACTAAAACTGTTTTTTTTTATGTGCATTACGAGAACCTTATCCCAAAAATGGGATCATGGTACATTAGTTTTCATTCCCATGTACACCTGTCATCCTACCACCCACATTTGTTCAAGAATTTCAGAGAAAGGTAACTGCTGATGTTAATGGTATTTTATCATTTAGCAGTGTTATACTTCAGTCTTCTCAATATATCATGGTCTTGATTTTTGCTTTGCCTCTCCGTCAGAGACAGACTACTTATGGCAATGGTGATTACTTTCTATTGATTTAGAGTGGACTTATAATAGGTTTAATGAGCTGTCTTGCAGTGATAAAGTTACAGACAAACTAAGATGCTATAAACTGGGTTTGAAGTTATGTATCTGAGATTTTGCAGTCATTTAACTAAATTATTTATAAATTTAATTTGGAGTGACTGGTTTAGATGAGGGCATTCTCTTCTCATTTCTCTGTCATTCTAGCCTTGCTGGCATTCAGGCAAATGAGCAGTGACTTTGGGTTCTTTTTACTTGCTTTTTGTAGCAAATATCAAGGTGGTCTTAAATCAGCATTTGAATAAAAGGATGATGGCTACTGAGTATCACAGTATCTTGCTGGTACTTCTAGCAGGCTTTTCTTTGCAGGCGGTTTCTTCGTGGTTGTGTATTGAGCATTCTCGGAATGAGTTCTCCTCTTTCTCCTAAGAACTGAGTTGAAATTCACCAGTCACTTATGTTGTTTTTAATTTTTTTTTAATTTTTTTAATCATCAGATTTGGTCTTCCTATATTCTTACACTTCTATCTGCAGATTCTTACTGTGCCTTTCACAATAATAGTATAGTTATCTACTGTGTTTTTACTATTATATATTTTAAAGTAATATGCTGTTTGTTTCCAACAGTTTTAAAAATCTTTTTTTCACTGAATCCATGAAAATGTCTTGCTTCTTCCCCTCAAAATGTACAGTTCAAGAGAAATTCCAACATATGCAGCATATCCATGGATTTGTCAGAATCTGTTGGAAGAGGATCCTTCTTTTCAAAGCAAAGGAAATGATTGTGTGTGAACTATGCAAATCAGATGAAGTATTTAACAGACAGTATCCAAGTCCTCTTCTGAAAATAATTGCATCCTCTTTAACTTACTACAGGTAGAGATTTGCAGAATGGAGACCAGGCTTCTTAATATCTTTGGAAAAATTTACAAATTGGAGCCTGGCTAGATGATGCTTTTTTGAGAAGACAATGACATGTTTTCAGGAACAGAAGATGCTCTCAAGGTCATGTCTAGCTTTTGTGTTTTCAGTAGGCACAGTGAAGGGTAAAACCAGTTCTTCTCTCCATTACAGTTCTGCCTTCCCCAGCATCTTTCTCCTGCTCACCTCCATCTCCTCATTATTTTTCATCCAAAACCAACTGCTTTCTATCTAAACATCTAAATTAGAAGGTAACTCATGGTGACAGGTTGACTACATGAAAAAGCATTTCTTCTGTTTTTTTGACTTGCCTGTCATGGTATTATGACTGTGCAGTGCCTAGCACACATATAAAGAAATTATTCTTTAAAAAGTCATCACCTACATTAGATTTTTTGTTTAAACATGATCAATGTGCAAAATCTTTAGAGAGAGGACTGCTGCTTATTTACTTCTCCAAAGCATAATTTTGACTGCTCAGAAAACTGATCATAACTTAGATATGACTTAGGAAATAAATGAGAATCTCCTGATATTTATGGAGCAGAGTCCTGCTTACTGCATTTTGGATTGTGCATTCAGTGCCTGAATTTGAATCTGGATATAGGTAGTATTATGTATATTGCACAGTTAAAGAAGCTGCTATAATATTGATTCTGTGCTGCAGAACTTGCTTCAAAGAATATTTGATTTTTTTAAAGAGCTTTTTTTTTTTTTTCCTTTTATTCCCCCCTCAACTGTATGAGGCTTCACAGGCGTCTCGTGGCTAAATAAAAGGGCAGCAGGACTAGGACATACCCTTTTCATGAGGAAAATTTTAAAGATCTGTCTGATTGTTGCACTTCTCATTCTGAATTAGTTACTGTTTTCCTGGGGTACCTGAAAGCTTCTACTTTTTGCTTGCTTTCACTTACTCATGTGACAAAACTTGTCTGATAACTGTCACTACAACTTGTAGCATAGTAAATACAAGAAATGGCAGCAGAATGTAATAAATCCATGTCATGGAAATTACCAACTTTAGTATGTAAATGCAGCTGCTTTACACTTTATAGCACGCCACACTCCTGTATTGAAAAAAAAATTAGGAACTAAGCCACAAGACTTGATTTCTTTTAATATTTAGGGATTTGGGTTTTCAGTAACACTAATTGTTGCTCCCTTTCTATCCCAGAATACCATAAGGAAAAATAGCTGGGGGTTATATAGAGGTGATTTTCTTCTATTTGATTTTAGGAAGGGTGTATAGAAAATGACTGTGTCTGTGTTTAAACACTACAGTAGTGGACTGCTGGGAAAGCAGAGTTGGGATGTATCCAGTCACCATGATAGTTTTTATCAACTAACGGGAAAATTCTTCTTACTGGCTTAGAAAAACACTTTAAAGGTTTGGGGATAGTAGAGGCAAAATGATTGCCATAATTCAAGTAAAAAAATCAAACCAACAGCCTAGTACATGGATGTGTGCTTCCAAAAGCAACAGGGAAGATCTGGCCAGTTTAGTAATTCTTGAAATGCTGTTGAATGTGGCATTCCCTGGAAATGATATTTTGTCCTGTGTCCAAGCGGCTGCCTGGATTCTGTTGGATGAAGAGTTGGAAGTTTCTTACAAAGGGGTACTCGAGCAAAATGGACTTGGAGCTTGTTTCAAACCAGTAACTCTTTCTTTAACTTTGTGCACTTTCTTCCCCAGTACAGTATGACAGGGAATGAGCGAGCGTGTGTGAAGGAGCTCGTCTTAGCAATGGTCTCTCTCAGAGACCATGTATGGGTAAAGCAGTTGGGCTAGTTTGGCTCCCTGCTCCTCCCTCCCGAAGAGCGGAGCAGAGTCTGTTCTGCTGAAACGCTTGTTCCACTTTGTGCTTTCTATATTTGTACAGCAGCAGCACACTTGCTAGCGAGGCACCGCGGCCGCCCCTGTGTGCCTTCAGCGTTCACTGGGCGCAGTTGAGAGCCAGGGCTTACAGTCTCTGTCGTTACGTCCGTCTGTCTGTCTGTCTCTGCGTCCCTGGGAAGGACTGGCGTTCCAGTGAAAGGTGATCTGTTTGTGGGTGGTTTTTGTGTGTTTTGTACATTGCAGCTCCTCCAACTGGGGAGCCAGGCCTGGGAGTGGAGGAGGGCAGGCAATCATCTCACAGGGAGAATATGTAGCAGGTCGTAGGAACATCAGAAAGCTTCAGTTTTAGCCTCCAGAAGAGCTGCTGGCTTCTGGGATGAGGGTTTAATGCCCTTGCCTGCATTGGGGAATTATTAGCAAGGGCCTAGATCCTGCCCTTAAAGGTCTGTTGTTACTGCCTGCTGTGAGGATTAATGAAAACTAGATCCTGCGAGTGCTGTCTTCCCTTGTTATGGGCAAGGGGGATTAATGAGGAGCTAGACCCTGGCCAGCCTAGTTTGGAATAAGGAGCTGGCACTGGGGGATGGGGCTGCAGGGAATACCTTATAAGGAAGAGCTGGAAACCTGTAACTAGGATTTCCCTAGCTGTATATTTGCATAAGCTTCATATTAAGGTCCTGCGTGGGGTGCAATGACTATTCAAAACTGCTTTTCTTCAGCACTAGATCAGGTGAAAAAAAAAATTGTAGCCTAGTGCAGAAAGTCATCTGCTGACACGGTAGTAAACTGTGTTGATAAGACATTCCTTGAGTAGTGGAGAGGGACTCAAAATAGTGGCAGCAGCTGGATCTGTTCTTAGCATTGGGGAAAATGTTCTGGGAAGCAGAGGAGGGAGAAATGGAAAATAGGGACTTTTTCTGTCCTTTAGGGGATGCTGCCCATTTACCAGTCCTGCTGCATCTTGAGCTCCAAGTACGCAAATAATCAAGCCATTTGTTTCTGGGTTTTGAGCTAGAAAAACATTTATTTGAGAAATAGAAAGCAGAATACTTGCTAAAATCTTCCTTGAAGACCATTTTCTAAAAACTATTATTTTCCTTTTCTGCAACTGCAGTGCATCTAGCCTATTTTCTCTTGAGGGGGAAAATAAATATATATATATATATATATGTATGTATGTATATCTTAAATTTGAAAGAAGCATTTTTTGGAGGCGAATGTGGGGGAGGATCTCAGCCTCCCAAAAATATCAGGATCATACTTTGTCTACAGGCAGGGAACTGTGATTGATGTGTGACAGAGGGTCATTTCACTCTGGGGCTGATTACACTCAAGTGACGTTGTTGTGTGCCTGGTTTCTGATCATCCTTCATGCACGGGGACCCACTAAGATAATTGTTTTGTCTTCATCTGGGAAACCTGTGAAATTCTATGTGAATATGCAGCTTCTGGGATATTGCACTCTGTCTTAAGTGTCCTGTTGTCTTTTACAATTCCCCCATACTCCCCAAGATCTCAGCCTTTTCCTCCTTACTTTTCCATTTCCTGTCTCCCCTATTTACATCCTTCTATTCATACTGGCCAGAAGAGAGTGACAGGATTAGTCTGAACTGTTCCTAACTTGCAATCAGTGATTTAAAGCACACTTAGGCATTTTTACATGCTGATGATTGCGGTTACTCAGTTCCTCTACTTCAACGTGTTTTCTAGTAGCATGCTTAATTTTTGCTTGCAGTGTCATAGCAAGAGCATGATTAGGCATTTTTTAAAGGCCCCTTGAAAGAATATTCACAGTTTTGTTTTTAAAATGTTATTTATCCATTCTATGAAAAATGTCATGGTAAACTGGGGGAGTGTAGAAGAATTTTTTGTCACCAAGTGCATTAAGCAGGTGAGGGAGATAGAGCCAGGCTGCAGAATGACAACAGGGGATTTAAATCTGTCATTCTGAAAAAATCTTCTTACAGACAGTATGCAAGAGTTACATTGTTTAAAGCCAAGCTGTCAATTATGTTTCTTGAAGCCAAATGCTTTATCTGTGTAGTAAATCTGTCCTGTACCTATTGCCCAGTAGTGCAGAAAGAGTGATTTGTTATTCAGCCTATTTTCAGTTTGAGTGATTTATGTGGCATAATATAATGGTTCAGATATTTATAGACAGAAAATCCTATTGGATGAATGTACTTTGAGTTTAAGGGGGAATGCCCATTAATCCAGTCAGGATTGAGTGCATTGTTGTCTTGTTTGTAGAGACGATTTAAGCAAGGCTGGAGACAAGTGAGAAGTTAACTCTTATCTGGCGTTCTTTGAAATGCAGGCTCTGGAATTTCACAGAAGGGGTAACTTCCTGCCTTCTTACCTTTAGTGCTTTTATTCTTTAGTTTAAAAAAAAAAAAAAAAGTTGCTTTTTTCCCCTTTCACTATCATAATTATGTGTTTGAGTAATAATGTCCAGCTAAGTGTTTGCATGTGGGAAGATTGCGGGCATTTGGAATTAAGTCTAGGGTTTGTTTGATGGTAGTTACAATTATAAACGCTGTTCAACTGCAGTTATGGGTAGTATACTCAATGAGGGAAAACATGAAAACTGTAAGTTGAATAGGCTTTACTTTTCATTTACAAAGCTAAATCTTATATGCTTACCAAGGATAGGAACTGAACTGTCTTCAAATATTAGATGCAGTGCACTGGTAAAGAATCAAGAGGCTTAGTTGTCAGTAGTAGAATGCATCTGCAAAGGAACAGTATAAAGGTGATTGTGTGAAAGAATATGTGCACGTAGATCTTACAAAGCATGTTTTTCTTAATGAAAATAGGGGAAGCCTTAGCGCTTGGGGACTTTGAAACTAAGAAGAGTTAATTGCTAGAAAATTAATTATGGGACATTCAGTGCTAGATATGATGTAGTTCTGTGAGTAATTAGAAGGAGCATATGCCAATATTGCTGTGAAAGCTGCCTGTTCCAGCTCTTGTATATTCCCACTCTCTGTGCTGCCAAGAGCACTGATGTGGTTGGACAGGGAAGTGAATCTGTCAGAATTTGTTCCTGTTACTGTTTGTAGGCTAGACAAGTCTGGGTCATTTTGCTCCTTAAGCTCATGGAGCAGAAGTGGGAATGGATAGCCAAAGGAGGGACGGGTTGGGCCCTACTCTTTTGGCAAGACCACTAACTTAAACTAGACCTGCAGTAACAGACCCCTTATCCCCATTTCTATCTTATCTTTTTAGAAAGCTTGCACCCAATCTTCTCTAGAAATAAAACCTCAAAAAGTGAAATAAGAGTTGTTTGCATCTGGTGTGCTATGGTGCTCTGAATCTGGTCCTACATAGAGAGATTCTAGATTTGGTCATAACG